AGATTGAGGCAGTTTAGAAAGAATTGCACATATTTGCAGTGCATTAGTAACCTTAACCTCAAGTTCTTTTAGTTTTTGATAACTCTATTATTTAAAGTTATTTTTAACACATTTTGGGGGCTTTAATAGCTAGATCTTGAGTTTTAGGTTCAGATTTTAGTATTTTAGGTGTTTTTCTAATGTAAGTTAGATTACATGGTTAATACATAAATTAAGTTGTTTTAGTTTAATTTTACTTTATTTTGTTTTTAATTTACTTTAAGAAGAGGTAATGCCAATTTCTCTCATGGTTTTTGTGCAAGATATGTGATGAGCTAGGTGAAATTGAGTTATGATAGCATAAGTATGGTGAAGATGTTAGTCATACATGTTACAATAATTTAAAGACAATTTGAGCTACAGAAGTCCAATTGATGTGATTTTTAATTCATTAGAAAGATAAGAGAATGGGCTACAATTTTTATGTTTACCACTTTATCCAATTCGACTTTGATTAAGGTGAAAAACTCATCTAAAGATATAGATAGATGCAGACTACACACAAGGCAGCATGATGATTAAGGCCATGGCACTGAGTTACTCAAGGCCGCAACGTTGGAAACTTATGGCCTCGGTGCTGAGCTAGATGGGTGCATTATACTAAAGGCCGAGAGCATGGCATTGCAGCACCAGAAAAGGAGCATCACAGCACTACCTAAGCTTATCACGGTGCCAAGAAGTCATGGTCGTGGCACCACCCCGATTTCCAAAATTAAAAATTCTGATGGGAAATTCGAAATGAGGGTATCTTGGACATATTTAAGGGTCTTTTTGAGAGCATTTAGGGGGGAGATGATAATAGGTTTTTCAAAGAATTGGAGATATGAACCAATCAAGAATTCAAGAGCAATTGAGAGAGATTCGCAATCAACCAGGGTTCAACACTAGTTTATTTCTTTCCTTTTGTGTTTTTCTTATTTTCTTGTTTTGAATTCATGGCTAAATTTCTTTGGATAGTGTTTTATTTAGATATTATAAACTAATTAGCTTATCTAGAATTATGGTGAACTTCAACATGTAGTCTGAAAATTGGTTTTTCTATTATTTATCATGAGTAAGTATCATTTTACTTATTCAAATCTGCTTGTAATACCTTTGATTGCCTAATCAATAATTAATTGATTTGTGAATCTAATTGAGACTCAACAGAGAAATTTTAGATTAGACTAAGATTTGAGTAGTGTATGTTCACATTACTTAGGTGATCTGATTCACGATTTTGGTAGATATACGCCAATTGCCATACATAGCCAAATTAGGATACTTGTTTAATGAACTTAATTTAATTAATTCCTATAGTCATATAGTGAATTGATTAAGTTAAGTTATTTGTATAAGCATCTCGACGGAGACTTGTCTATAGCTTTGGATTCTAAGTTAATAAAATCACCCAGGAAAGATAAATAACAAGAAAAGTTAATATCAAAGGAAATGTTGAATGAAACAACGATCCTAGGTCTTTAATCTACTACTTTTCTCAACATATTTAGTTTTGTTGGTTAATTTATTGTTTATTTTTAATTTTGTCTTTGATTAGCTTTTCGATTAGCTTAAATAAAATTAATTTGTTATATAATTGTAATACTTAGTGAAACTTTAAAAACAAATCCTTGTGAGAACGATAATCTAGACTTATTGTCTATATTACTTATTTGATATGTATAGTTGCGTGCGCAAAATCAACAACAGTTTTGAAACTAAAAATTGTAGTTCATGCACTTGATCCATGATAAGTAGATTGTCACTTATCTTAAACTTGAAATATTTTAAAGACAGAAATTTATTAGTATCTCATTTTTCGTTCTTATGGGTTGTCTCCAAAGTTGCCTATATTTCCTTTGGAGTCTTTAGATTAGAGTAGAGACCATATAGACAATCTGCCAAAGTGTTTAAGATATGTCCACGGTATATCAATTCATCTTCTTCTCATTTTTTCCTCTCTGCCTTTTGGGTATCAAAATTTTCACCAGTTGATTTTAGAAGTACAGTAAAATTCGAATCCAAAACATAATAACTCTTCAAAGTCATAAAAAAAATACCATCTTATCCCTCCAACAGATGAAATTGGTTCCATCAAACCTATCAAGTTTGATGAATTCTTGATTCATAATTTAAAACTTCAAATTTGAATTAGACTTTATTGAGTACAACTCTTTAAAATTGTTAGAAATTTAATATAAGAAAAATAGTAAAAAGGGTTCAGACGTGCTGTAAAACACTATTGTTAAAGAGTTATTGCCTATTATGGGGATTTGCAGATAAGGGCTCTCTAAGATACAACAAGCCTATTGAAAAAATTTTTTAAAACTAAAAGTCTGTTTTGAAAGTATGTTCTTTTTTATAAACACTGATCTAGTGTGTTTCAACAATTGAGTGTTAAAACCAATGAACAATTAACCAGTGTGTTTCAACAATTGTATTTGTTGAAAAATATTGAAAAGAATCTAAATAATTAATTAGCTTCCTATGTGAGACTTCCAACAAACCCAAATATTACAAACTATCTAATATCTACCATAATTCAACTCAGGTTTATTTGATTTCAAAATAGACATCTCGTCCCAAACTAATCATCTTGACAAGTTTTACAAATCTTGTTGTTAAAACATCATTTCCTTTTCCACTAATTATGTGTTGATAGCTATCACATGATATGATTTTTACCTTTCATGAAATAGAAAAACAAAAAAACAAAAAAAAAGATTTAAATAGAATATAAACAATCTAATAAAAAAAGAAATAACTCGTTTCTTACTTGATTGGTTGCTTGTCTCAGATTTGTTTTACATAAATAAATGAAAAGAATGATATCCACTGCAAAACAAGTACATCAAGTATGAGAAACACATATACTTCAGCTTCAAAAAAAGCAACTCCTCATTATAGGCACTTGATTTCATTATCTCGCTTACTAGGGCAGTAACACATACCTCTAGTTCTCCCCTCTTCCTTTGGACCAGCCATCAATAGTCTTATGTCCAAGGACATTAGTTTTTTTATTCTGTGTACCAAATAGTAATAAAGCCAATTAAATTTGGAGATACAACCTTGCAAGAAGTATGAATATTGGCATTGAAGATGGAGGAAGAAAGAACTAGCTACATTATGTAGAATATCAAATCACTTATTTGCAACAATGTTTATTTCTTCAACCCCACTTTCACCAAGAAGAATAGGGGTTTTTGGTCCTACAATAAAGTATCTAAATAATTCTTTGAAAAAGACATTGTCTTGCATCAAATATCAGAGAAAACATTGATAAATTTCATTAGTTATGGTAAGCCAAGTAAACAACAGTGAGGCAAATGTGAATCACTTGGTAGCTGTAACGGTCACTACCAGCGAAGCTTGCAAAAGATGGTAGGGAACATTCAGTGTCATGAAAAAAGATGAGTGAAAAATCAATTTCTGGTAATGCCATTGTTTTGAGATCAACTAACAAAGGAAAAGGAAGGAATTTGATATGCTTATTCTCTTTCTTTATAATTTGTTATTAGAATAATAGAAGATAATGCTTTGTAGCTCACATGTGATTATTAAGGAGATTCAATTATGTGTGGATCTTATAGCTCGTGCAAGTGAAGGACTCATTGATCTTGCTATTGGCAAAGTGAGCAATGAAAACAGATGAAGACGATGATGAAGATTTGAAGCGAATTGTGCAATCTGACTGGAAAAAAAGTTTTCATGTTTACTGTCATAGTTATTGAAAAAATAGTGTATTCCATAAGGTTTAACATCCCACATTGTTAAAGTACAAAACAAGGTGAGTGCTTTAAATAAGCAAACCCATTATGGATATGTTCCAAGGAAGGAAAAAATAGTGGACCCATGTGCACATGAGATCAAGCTAGGTCTTGAGAAAACTTAGATTTCCCTCCTTACATGCGAGTAAACACGTGGGTAAGGTCTATTGTTATTATTTGACTTTTGTTAATTGGTTGCCTGATATTACCTGCTCATCTCCTCTAAAGCTTCTCTGTTAATTTGTTGCTCGATATTTATTAACTGTTATTTGACTTGATATTTGTTAAAGGTTATTTGACTCAGTCTCTTGATTTTCGCTGATTTTATGTTGATTTTTGTCGCTGATTTTATGCTGATATTCTATAATGTTAACTTTCTGCTCCAGCCAATAAATACAACCTATCTACCTCAATTACAAGACATCCACTCATCTCCTCTAAAGCTTCTCTGTTAGGATGTTGCTGATATTTCTTAATTGTTATTTGATTTAATATTTGTTAAAGGTTATTTAACTTTGTATCTTGATTTCCTCTAATTTTTCATTGATTTTATATTGATTTTATGTTGATATTCTACAACATTAACTCTCTACTCCAGCTTATAAATACAACCTATCTACCTCAATCACAAGACACCCACTCATCTCCTCTAAAGATAACCACTACAGTCCTTTTGCATCGAATTTCATACTCCGAAAAAACGAAAATTATCCTCAAAAACAAAAAAATTACGCTTCAAACTTTCTTAAAATTTTCTATGCTTCATTATTTTGCCAACCGTAGTTTAGTTACTCAATTTGATGTTTTGAGATGAAATATTCATGTTAAAATTTAATAAATCTAAGTTGAATTATAGCAAAACCTTAAAAGATTGGGATATATTCAACCTAATAAGTAAGCTTCGCTGGCTGCGAAATCTGCTGAGATTAGGTTGAATGACTTCCGACTCTAAGTTACGACCCCAGATGATTAATTGAGTTGTTTCATGGAAATAGATTTCTTATCTGTAGAAGGAGAGTCCCTTTTTAATCCCAAGTGGGCAGGTTGGATTGGACCAAGAGCAATAGGTTCTCTTGTGAAGTCATTGGAATAGGTTCAATGACATACTTCGGGTTCGTCTATCCCTTAATGGATTCCAACTCACTTTGGGTGTAAATTACTACGAAAGTGATTTGGGTTCGTCTATTCCTCAACGGATACAAACGAAAATGGAGTCGAGAATGGCCTTTTCATTGCTTCGAAAGTAACAAAAATAAAAATTCTATTATCAATTTTTATCGTGTAACATACAAACATTTGGGATTAAGATAATAATAAAAAATCTTGCCCGCAGCGATACGTGGGCATTAAGCAGCTTCTCTGCTTCCTATAATAGTATATTCCATTATGATCCCAAGAGTCTAGCAGCTACATATTCTGCAATCGCCATGCTTGAAGTCAGCCCAGGTGACTCAATTCCAAAAAGATTCAAGAGACCAGTCACTCCATGAATTTCTTCTCCCTATAGTAAATGAAAATCTAGATTTCAGAAATCTCTGAAAATAGCCAAAATCCACTCTTAACCAACAAAACAATTAACTCATCTTTGCAAAAATTGTATGATACATCAATTCAAGACGAAAACAAAAACCTGGTTTGCTGAATCTGTTTTTCCAAAGTTTTGTAGCATGAATTTATAAACTAAATTCTTACAAATAAGAAGAAGTGGTCATAACTAATGGCTCAGAACTTAGATATGATGAAGAGGAAACAAAAATGAGTCCTTGCCATAGGATATAGGCGAGTGTCATTATTACTTAAAATCTTTAACAGATCAACAAGGAGCATGAAGGGGAGAAAATGGAAATCAATGTATTATATTTTTCATACAACAAGTATTAATAGCAAAGGGCACAATTCGATGAAACATTTATCTAAAGACAGAATTTCAGCTATCAAGGGAAACTAGATCTTTTTAATCTTACATTGTATGAAGCTCCACAATGTACTCTCCCCAAGAATTTTTTATCAATTATGTTAGGCTGCACTGTACCAACTTCCATCACTATCAGCAATTGTTACTGCTCATGCTTAATTGTTGAGAAAATCAGACAAAAATTGAGCAACAGACAAGTCAGAATGAGCTCGCTAGATGACTAAAGCTCATGTTGCATAGATATTTAAAAGCCCCACTTACTCTAAAGATGAAATTGATTATTTTCTGTTCATTGGGACAAAAAATTAAATCTGAGAGGAAAGAAGAAAAAAGTTTAAAAGAGACTGCTAGCATAAAAATATGTTTAAAATTTGAACGCCATTCATGAGAATTGTACCAAAAAGAACTAGATACAAATAATATTGTTCTGACATGGCCTTTCCACATATTTACTCATCATTCATCAATCAACTCAATCTAAAGACTATGTGTGTAACAGAGAATATGAATTCACTTACTTATCCACTGCTCTATAGACTATGTTCTGGATGACAAACTTGAGACCTTGTATACTCAGATTTCCTCCATCTATTGATTCTTTGTGGTCGTCTTTCTTCCTTCTTCCGTTGCTCTCCCTATTTTCTCTGTCTCTCCCTAATTGCTTCTGCCTAGCTATGATTTTCACTCTAATTTCTTTATTATTTATCTCTTTTCCCTTACTTATTTTACATCACATTGTTATCAGAGCTCAACAAAGCTTTCCCTATCAATTTATCCTTTCTTTCTTTTTTGTCAAAAAAATCATCAGATCTATTAAAAAAGATTCCAAACAAATTTCTTGCAAAAAAGAGTTCTATTGAAAAAGAAACTCTGAAAATATAGCAAAAAGAAGAAGAAAACAGTGCCCCAAATGGAGATAAAATTAATTCACCGCTGACTGATCACCATTCCACCACTGTCGCAACCTTCACCAATTGCCAATCGATAACCCCATAAATTTTCATCCCCTATTTCCATTGCATTCACCAGAAAATTTAGAAAGAAAGAAAGCCAAACTTCAAATTTAGATCTGCAAAGATCCAACCATCGTACACAGTACCATCATACTGAACCATTTGGTAGCTAATGTTTATCTTAACAATGAAGTCCCAATGTTAACAACATCTTCATGTGCCTCCATACATTAAATCAGGTCACCAGCCAAACCACCCCACCCAATGCGTCACTGCCATCAATGGCACATCAGGTACCACTTTACCTTAGTTGCAACATGCCAGTGACCCATAAGCAATTTTTCAACACTTTCTTCCTTGCTAATTATAATGTCCTGATTACAATTATGAGGTCCTCTTTGTGAGATTTGAACTCTAAGAATCAGATTTTAATGGTCAAAAAACCTTTATTTTGAGATGCATGGAGATTAATTCAGAGATAATTGAGAGTCTAGTAGATGATATTTATGAAGCCACTTTGCATTTAAAAGTTAATTGCTTTGTGAGACAGATATAGCTTTGCAACTTCATCCTTCAGGTTCATGAATATCATGATTTTAAAGATTATATACTTCAGAGAAGAAAATACTTGAAAAGGGAAGATTATAATATGTATAAGATGGAATGACAAAAGTAAACAATCAATATGGGAATGTACATTATGAAGTTTGTGTTACCCTTATAAAATTTCATACATCTTTCAATTCCTTGACAAGTTCATTTTCTCAAGCATGCTCCACCAATGTGTTTAAGAGGGACCCGATTGTAATGGATATTGTAAATGCCAAAGCAAAAGTTAACGGACAAAAGAAGATTGACATTCAAGATGTTATGGTTGTGGACACATCCTTTATTTATGACGACAAAGAATATGATCATAATGAAGTGGAAAAAAATGATAAGGGAAGAGGTAGAATTTGATGAGCTAAAGCAAATTGATTCCCCTTAAGCTGACGATATAGAGAATATACAAGTTTGGCTATGATTTTGGAATCTAAAATTGTCACTGACCAAGTAAATGAGGAGTCTAATGCCATGCAGTTTGATGGAAAAATTTCCACTATTCCATTCTCCCTAGCATGTTTCAAAATGATGAGATAGAAGTCTTGTTGACCGTGTTGATGCTGCAAAAGAACTCTGCTACTGGGAATTTTGTTTGTTGATGTTGCTTGAAAATATTTTTCCTTCAACATTTCAAAACTCATCATTGACCTTTCTCCAGCAAGAGGAAAATGATGCAGGATGATGAGAAGCAACATGAAGGATTAAATAATCTGGTTTATTTTGTTTACGTTTTATATTTTTAATGGGTCAATTATAACTTTCACCGATATTTGGATAATAGAATATTTAGGTTATTTTATTTTAATAGTATTTCACCTATTTTCCAAGTATTAGGGTTTTAAGGTTATATTTTGTGTTTTGCATTTTATTAGCGCTTAGGGTTTAGCTTATCAAATATTTACGTATAGTTTCAATTAAATCTGTATGATGAAATTTTTGAACTTTGAATATTGAGATTTTTTTTTAAATTATTTTATTTTGGTTTTCTTTTCTTGATTCTTTTGTTTCACTTCCTATTTCCCTTGTTTTTCCCCAAATGCTTCTACGTATCTCTAATTTTCCCTCTAAATTATTATCTATCTCTTTTCCCCTGTTCTACTTAAATAATGATGCTGGACGAAGCGAAGCTATATGAGGGATTAAATTATCTTGTTTATTTGGTTAATTTGTTATATGTTATGGGTTAATTGTAACTTTGGTCGATATTTAGGATACTATAGAATATTTAGGTTGTTTCATATAAATTAGTATTTCACTTATTCTTTTCCAAGAATTAGGGGTTTAGGGTTATATTTTTAAATATTAATAATTGATAATTTATTTATAATATTAATAATTTATCATTTAAATATTAATATTTTATTTATAATTTAAATGTATAAAGTATTCATATTTTATTATAATTTAAATGATATTATGGTTATTTATTTTTATTTTATTTTATTTTTAAATATTAATATTTTATAATTATTTAAGATTTAAAAGATTTTAATTTATTTAAAATATTAATAATTGATTACTTAAATATTAATATTTTATTTATAATTTAATTATTATTACCATTATTTATTTTTATTTTATTTTTTCAAAAGATTTTTAATTTATTTAAAATATTAATAATTGATTACTTAAATATTAATATTTTATTTATAATTTAATTATTAATATTTTCATATATTAATATTTTATTTTTAAATATTAATATAGGTAAGATTGTAAATTTCTAAATTTATGAGGGGTAATTTAGTCTTAACATGTTTTGAACCTATTCCATCAAACATGGAATAGCTCATACTAAGGGAAAGGGTGGGTTTAGTTAAACCTAACTTTTAACTGATTTTAAAGAATAGCTATTCCTTGATCCAATCTCCAACCAATCATGGGAGAAAATATCACATGGAAATAGAGGGGGAAGAACTTAGCTATTCAGCTATACCCCATACCAAACATGCAGTCAGTATTTTGTGTTTTATTCTGGTTTAGAAATTAGCCTAAAAAATCTATGATAGAGTTTCGATTAGGTTTTGGATGATGAACTTGAGAATTTGAATATTGAGATTGTCTTCCTCTATTGATTCTCTCTAGTTTTCCCCCTTAACTCTTCTACTTCTGTCCCTATTCCTCTGTTTCTCCCTAATTGCTTTCGCCCATCTCTGATTTTTCTTCTAACTTCTATTATTTATCTTGTTTCAATTATTTGTTCATCAACCCTAAACACCAAAAAGCATACAATTTAACTGAAAATATATAACAAATCAGTAAAATATAATATCAAATAATTAAGTCCTTCAATCAACTTCTTCTCATATTGCATCAAAAGGCCTCTCTTATATTTAAAATCCCAAAATACCCCAAATTTAATTAGTGTGGTTTATAAATTATCAGCATCTTAACAGTGGTATTAATGGAGGCATCACCCAGAGGATCCAAGTAAAAGAGTCAAATGGAGAAATGCTCCCAAGGTCTTGTTTCCCACTTAACTTAAAAGAAAGCTCTACAAGACAATTTTAATGCCAATTTTGCTTTATGAATGTTGTGCAGGCATAAACTTGAGCAAAAGAGGAATGTAACTGAAATAAGGATACGGCAATGGATATGTGTGAAACAGAAGAAACAATAAGACTAGAATTGAGTGCATTTGAGAAAAAGTTTGGGTAATACAACTGTTGGACAAGATCATAGATGTGTTTAACGTGGTTTGAACATGTGAGACCAAGGAATAAACCTCTCACTATGTTTGGTAGGAGGGAAGGAGGAAGGAAGGAAAGGGAGTGGAAGGAAAATAGTGTTTCTTTCCTTTCCTTGGTGCGTTTGGTAGAAACCAAGTAGGAGTGGGGAAGGAAAATAGATGGATTAGCACCTTTCCTTTCCCTCCAAATCAAATCCTTCCAAACCCCTAATCCCTTTCTTTCCCTCTATTTTCCAGCTTTCATACCAAACAAAAGGAAAGAAAAACAACTTTCCTTCCTTTCCTTGATTTTTTCTTTCCTAGCCTTCTTCCCTTCTCTCTCCTTTCCTTCTTGCCAAACATAGTTAATAGAGGAATAGAAGTTAAACTATTAAAAGGGACCACAAATTTAAGGCTCTTAATGGCTCAAAATAAAGTACAATGGCCAAAACTAGTCCATTTAGCTTATCCAAGTAGTGGGAGAGCACTTGGTTGTTGTTTCTTTGTTTGCTAAGTTTCTCACCAATCATATATTTTGGATAAACAATTGCCTGATGCTAACCTGGATAACAGGTGTAGATCCTGCAATCATTTTGTAGAGAAAATTCTACATGTAAGCTAGTTTTCTCAAAAATAAAAACAAATGCACTATACATGATATGCATATGGCTAGGAAAAATTATATATCAAGTTTAATACTTCACATAAAAGGGAGTACAAAAGAAAACCTGTACTACAAAGTCACAGGCAGACTGTCCTGGTCCAGAGAGTTTTGGTCGAACCCCTGCATAACCTGGTAGTAGAGATCCATCTTTGAGATTTGGGTAGTACTTTCGAATCTCGGGATAAAATCTTTCAACACGGTCAGCACTTACAGCATAGTTGAACCTGGGAGCACAGGCCCACCAAGCTTAGGTTTTGAGCACATGACTATGTCTTTCAAAATGCAAGCACAAACATACTGTTAAGCAAAAAAACTAACACCTGAATCAATTGCTTTTAAGCAACAAATGCAGTAATGAACTTACCTAAAAGGAACTTAAAATATCTTTCAAGTTCAAAAGATCAAAAATTGTTCTGCTACTTATTTCAAGAATGCTTCAATGCATTGGCAGAGCCATAAAAAAGCTTGTGATGCAATGACCCCAAGCACTACCCCACCTCCCTCTTAAATGAAAAGTAAAGTGGGAATTGAAATTTTAATTTTAACCTTTGAAGGAGGGTTAATCAACCTGACAAAACTCAGCAAATCAATCAATAGACTTCTTGTGACGGTCCTCTTATGCTGACACCCATACATGTCTTCCAACTCCAACACAGGAAATATCAGACGAAGTACAGACTGCCTGAATATAAAAGATTACTGGTAGACATTGAACAAAACTCGCATGCTATCTCCCACCAAGTTTCCTCTATGACAAACCCATTCCAAGAGTCAGATTTTTGCCTCCAGTACAATGGAAAACAGAATGTAGTGCCTTTGCTCAAAAAAAGACAAAGGAAGCATAAGACAGTGGAATTATGTGATTCAAAAAGTTCTAGCAAAGGCGAAAGTAGAAAAAAATAAATGGGATTTTAGTTAGATGCAATTGAATTTTCAACTGAATACCTGCAGAGAATGTTCTGACTCAAACAGAGTTGCTCAAAAGGAATTATGACAGTAGATAAACTCGCTAAACATCAATGACATGGAAAGAACCTTAACATGCTATAAATTTTATGCCAAGCTAAGCATCAAGAATTCAAGATATTTCGGCCAACTACTGCATTAGCTTAGGGCATTGGCTACATTTTAACAGAAAAAACAGGAAAGGGACTGATGGTCTAGGTCTAATGCAGTTAAAGCAATGACATTGAAAAAAATGGGGGACTGGAAGAAGAGATGAAGTAATAGCTACAACAACTTATCATCAAAATTCAAAGAAAGAAATGAAGAGGACATGAAACCTTAAAAGGAAAGGCACCTAGCACAATATAATCACAGCATCAATAGAAACAAATCATACAAATAAAACCTATTTGAAACTGGGATGGAATTCATATGTGGCATATTTCCATTGTCGAGAAATGGAAGAGAGAAACAAAAAAAAAAAAACAGAAAAAGCAAAACCCACAATGATTTCAATCCAAATTACTTGCTTGCATTTATTTACTGTCATTCCAAATATGCCTTCAAGTGAAATGGCCCCTTGTATTATCGTAAAAAAGTTTTCAACCCTCCAAACTCAAGCACGCAACCTGTAGCAAAATGCATATGCCTCTAGATGGGACCATAGTCTGGTTAATTGAAGAAATACATATCTACCAATTGTGGAACTTGTATAAAGGAAGTAAACAAACAAAAGTTTACAAATTCATGGTTTATGCAATCGAAAGTAGGTATTAAAAACATATTAAAGAGACAAGTATATCACCCAAATCATCATATCATCATTAAAGATAGAAATACCTATTAAGGAAGCTGGATATATCATCTACATGATGAATCCACTCAACATCTGGGCCAAACTTGAGCTGGCCATCTAAATCCAGAGTGACATGCACTCCAAGACCGCCTTCCTCTGGCATAGGATATATCAAATGTTTGAAAGGAGCAAGTCTAGTAGAATTTGAAAGGGTAAAGTAGGAACCACGAGCATAATATGCAGGAGGAATGGCAGCAGTGCTTAGACCGTGGAATCTCTTAGCCAGGGCGGGAGCACTCAAGCCTGAAGAATTCACCACGAATTTAGCAGAAAGTATGAGGTCTGGTTGCAATTGAGTGCTTCCATCCCAGTTTCCAAGACTTTGGCTTTCGGAAACGTGGAGGGCCATTTGATTGTCTTCAAGATGACCTCCAATAACAGTGGTATTGTAAGAGAAGGTGGTTCCCTTTGTTTCAGCCTCCGCCTGGAATGGTGGTAGTTAATAAGCAATTAAGTTTATATAAAACGAAGGAGAAGAAAAGGAAAAAAGAACATTGGAGATGCATACCACTAAAGACAGCATTAGAGAATGTGTATCCACAATGCCAGAAGAAGGAGACAGCAAGGCTTTGACACACTGCAATTCAGGTTCCATTTTGATGGCCTCAGAAGCGTCCAACATCCTGAGACCTTCAACCCCATTTTGAATCCCACGATTTAACAGATGATTTAACTTTGGAATCTCCGACGCTCCAGTAGCAACTATGAGCTTCCCAATCTGCTCGTGAGGTATCCCATGTTGAGAGCAGTACTGATAAAGTAAGTTTCGTCCTCTCACACAAAAACGAGCCTTGAGAGAATTGGGAGGATAGTAGATGCCGGCATGGATGACCTCGCTGTTGCGGAACTAGTGGCTGTTCCGAAGGTGGGGCAGAGTCCAGGACCAACACCTCTTTCCCCTTGAGCGACAGCTCTCTGGCCACTGCCACTCCCACGATTCCCGCTCCAATCACAACGCACTCCGCCTTCTCTTTTGGGGCATTCCACGATTTTGATGATAAATTAATCCGTCTTTTTGACTTGCTTATCAGCCTGTCAACACCTTGCCTTAGCATCTTTCCACTTTCTTGCTCCTGCAACCTTCTTTCATAATCGATACTAGCGCTCCGACCAAGGATATGTTATTGTTATGTGTTGCTTTAGATAATACATTTGAATGCTGCGGGCCCGATCAACTTACAGTGAAAAAACGTTTATAGACAACCATCGATAACCAAGAGAGGTTAAAGTTTTAAGCTCAAAACTCCTTGTCAATCTGTGTAAATCATCATGTACTAAATAATTAGACTATGTCAGCATAATGACAATTTTTAATATATGTGAACTTTTTTTATTTGTTTGACCCATTAGGAAAGAAGTCTTTACACAATTTTACATTGCTTTTGGTAATTCCTCATCACTCTCTTTTGCATTAATACATGACAAATTTTGAATTTGGTACACTATTTTTAAGGACATTGTTTAAAAACCATTTACAAATATAAACACACTGATAGTGTGCATCAAAGAGATCCAAAATGAACTTGTTTGATATCTTTTATAGTGGTATCATCAAAAGAGCAAACAGATTGGATAGATTTCAAGTTAAAGTTGAATCCAAATACTTTCAGTAATAAATCTATATGATGCATTTATTATCTCTAGCTCCTTAAAGAGATAAGGACACTTCATTATTTACCACATCTCCGAATAAGAATTCATTTTCATTCTTGGATATTGGTGTTGCACATGAAATACCAATTTATTATGATTAAATGAATGTCTATAATTATAATAAAAAGTATCTCGAAGAGGTTCTTGTTTTATTTTTATTTTGTGTGTTTGCTTTGATTTAACTTATGTTTTGATTTGATAAAATTGGATGATATTCTTATCTTGATTGCAAGCATTTGAAATGGTTAATGTATGTTCGAAAAGCTATCTATACTTAGAAAACATCACAAAGCTTTCAAACATTAAATATTCACTAAAAAAATAAAAGCATTACTGACGAAAAAATTCATCAATAATAGTTAAAATTCTGTCAATATGTTACATTATTAACGAAAGTTTTCGTCGATACTCAATCAAAAATATGGTGGTCCATATGGCAAATCCGTCAGTGACAAATTATTCTGTCAATAAAATATTGATTGGGTGATTCATCGGTAGTTCTGTCAGTAAAGCTCAAATCCATTAACCGTATCTCATTGGTGATGGAAAACTTTGTCAATTATTTCCATCAGTAAATGTGCCTACAAATTAAGATCTGTAGGTAAATTTCATAATGAATACTAACGAAATTACTGACAAAGTCAACTTTGAAGCTCACAAGCAGTATCCATGGGCAATGGCAGTAATTTTGTTGGTATTTTGTATGAACTCAATCGATAAAGGAAAAATTTCATTAGTGATTTCGTGATGAATTGTCATTAATAAATGAATCTTGTGGCAATTCCGTTTGTGATACTTGCAACACAAGGTTTTTTTTGGAGGAATTAAATTTATCCTATTGTAATAAAATTATTATATGATGTTGTTATTGAAAAAAATAAACATATAGCAAACATATATGCATATAAAAAATATGAAAATATAATACAAATCGTAATTAATAAAAAAAACAAGTAAACATCAACCAATAATCAAATGTAAACATCCAATGTAAATACAAATCTCACTAAGGGGTGGGGTGGTTCTTATTATTGTTGTGGTGAACACAACAGATTCGACTGTTGTGATAAAGAAGACCCGGAGATGTCCGACGATCTTTTCACTATAATTACCTCTATAGTCAAGTTACTAAGTCTATATACAAACGCCATCAAAGGTATTGATGTTACTAACCAATTGTTGATATCTCTTGACTTAAGTGTAACAAGAGGAGGAGATGGTGAAGTGTCAAAGCCATTAATAGACTCAGACATTATGATAGGACCTAGAAGTGTCGAAGCAGGGACTCTGGTTGCAATCCATAAATGTGAGTTCGAGTACTGTCGTGCCCTCTACTGGCCTTAAGATCAAACTCTAGCTGGGTCGACAACTCATCACCATACTTTTGCGATAAAGTTAAAACGTATGATTCCTTCAAATCGAAAAAAATCAAAATTATCAAGTTATTTAATTGGTAAGCAACATATATATCGAATATATATAAACACACGCATTACTTAGACAATCTTGGATCTATTATCCAAAATTCTCTAGTACTTTGCTACTACTTGTGAGTGTGTTCAAAAAGCTCAGAGACCATTGCCCAGTGCTGCTTTTTCTCTTTTGTAATCATAAAAAGAGAACAAGAATGCAAAACACATTGTTAAAGGTATCGTAATCGTTAACAACATAAAGAATTGTATTATTAAAATGAATGGTTTTTGTAGTATTAAAATAAAACCACGTATCATCTTCTTCTGGTGTTGGGTGAAAGGTAAGGAACTACTTGTATGTTTTGCAACTTTGCCTTCTTTTTCTGTCAAGCAGTTCTACTTAGCCTTACGTGACCATGATTGCTATTCCGACTTAGACCTTATGTTATCAACAAATTAATCCTATACCTCAATAATAATTCAAGATCACGCCTTACCCTTCGTCAATAGGAGATCGACAGTGAGGCCACTTGCTTCCTTTTTGGCCTTATCATGCTCATCCCCTAGTAGATCCTTAAGGCAGTCCTTGTGAATTTTCTTCCATATAGACCGAACCTCTGTTGCATTTGCATCAGTCCACCAAAAAAATTTCTACATCCAAGAAAATATATATTGGTACAAAAAATTATAACAGATATACGTTAATACTTTATCCTTATGTTACCTCGAATTTATGCCACATTTTATCCTTATGTTCTTGAGGAACCTACCTCCATTAGACTTGTCAATATGGGTCGGCTCGGCCAACCCGGCCCTAGCCTTGTGGGTTGGAAAAATATGAGTTGGGCGGGCCAGCCCATATTTTATATGGGCTACAAAATCCTCAACCCAGCCTACCCCTTGCTAGCCCATGGGCTGGGCCGGTTAGCCATTTTTTTTCAAAAAAAATTTATTTTAGTAAATAAATACAACTATACTATGATTTAGTCCATAATTAAATAATAAAAAACATATAACAAACAAATAAATTACACCAAACATAAATAAGCAAATACATTACATCAAACATAAATAAAATTTCAAATTTTCAATCTTTAACACAATTACACAAACTACAATCCCATCAATATAACTACATAAATACATAATCAAATATTCATAAACTTCCAGACTAATTAATGTTTTTCTTAATCTTCATCCTCAATCAAAACATTTGAGTCTTCTTTGAACAGCAATTGATGTTCCAGGTCCTCATCATTATCATCTAATATTCATTGTCATAAAAGAAAAAGATATAATGAGTTTAAATTTTAACTAAAATTATTAATTTAACAAGAAAAGATTAAAGATATTGAAAATATAAAATAAACAATACATCGACAACTAAAGAAAAGCCATGCAACCAATTTTCGTGCAGACAAGCATTTGAACATTTTCATGACGGAGGGAACTTCTAAACTTAGTAAGAACATGGCCACCGATACTAAAAGCAAACTCTGATGCTACTGTAGTAATCAGAATGCTCCATACATCTTGTGCCATAACAGAAAGATCAGGAAAGTGCTTAGCATTATCTCCCTAATAATTAAGCACATCCAAGTCTTCAAACACTTCATAATAAGCTTTGCCTCATCTAAATAAACATCTAACTCAGACTTTCCAGCAATAGAAATTGTTTCATTTTGAAACATTTTGAACTCCTACAATTTTTTAATACATAGATAAAAAAAATATCAAAACATAAATAAAGTAACATAAATTCTCATGTAATAAGATTAAGGAAAGATACAAAACTTACACTAAAGATCTTTGATCCCTTGGGTTTAGTTCCCCTTTCGACTTGCTTAGGCAAATTACTCATTGAGTGAGATAATGTACTTAATGCATAAGTGTTGCTTGCATATTGTTCAAAAAGCTCGTACAACTTTGTCTTCACATTTTCTAACTTTTCATGACAAGTAGAAGCTTCAATCTTAGAATAGCAAAATTTTAAGAAATCAAGCTTCATCCTTAGGTCAAGAATAGCTCCAAATGCAAGCACTACACTATAATCTTTCCAATATTTGTCAAATTTTATTTTCATCCTTTGAGACATATCCTTAATAACCTCATCTTTATTATGCAAATTCTCATTTAAAATCGATTCAATTTTTCAAATTTGCATGAAATACAAATTGAAGTTGGATAAGATGAACCAGATATCAAGTTTGTAGTCTCATAAAAGGGCTCCAAGAATTCACAAATTATCATTACTCTCCCTCATTCCTCATCAAATGGATTATATTTATAAGTTCTATCAACAAATTGGAGGCTAGCAAAAGCTTTTTGATATTTGATTACACTTTCAAGCATCAAATATGTTGAATTCCATCTAGTTGACATGTTTAAACGTAACCCAACACCTGCATCAATACCAACGTGTTGGACACATTCTTGAAACTTTTTCATCCTCCCATCCGATGCCTTTACATATTTCACACTCTCCCTAATTTTAAACAATGCCTCATTCACTACTTCTAAGCCCTCTTGAATAATAAGATTTAATATATGAGCGCAACAACGCACATGAAAAAATTTACCATCATAAATCAAGCTACTTTGCAAATGAAGATGACCTTTCAAGATAGTTTGCATGTTATCATTAGCAGAAGCATTATCTAGAGTAAGAGAGAAAACTTTTCTATCTATTCCCCATTCTTTCAAACAATCAAATACAGTGGCAGCTAATTCAACTCTAGTGTGTGGAGGAGGCATACGACAAAAGTTGAGTAACTTGCTATATAACTTTCAATTTTATTGACAAAGTGAGCAGTCAAACAAATATAGCCCTCAGAAGTAGATGCTGTCTATACATCAGAAGTTAAACAAATTCTATTAGGTACCTTGGCCATGGCTTGTTTAAGTTTTTCTTTCTCTCTCAAATGAATTCTCTGAACATCAGATACAGTAGTGTTTCTAGAATGCATGACTACATATGGATTTACATACTTAGCCCAAGCTCTAATCTTATCATATTCAACAAAAGCATAAGGCAAGTCATGCTTAATTATGGCTTCAGCAAGCATGTCACGTGAAATTCTAGGATCAAATTTTCTAGCCTTTAATCTCCCTTCATAATCCAAAAGCATTTGATGTGGATTAAAATATGAAATAGATTTATAAGCTTCAATATGACGACGTAAATGTGAAGTGCCATAATTAGAGCCACCAGGTTTAGGGCCAACCTTATACTCTGTTTTACAACCATTACAAGTTGCCCTTTCTACTCCATCTTGCTTTTTGCCTATTTTAGTGAAATAATTCCAAACATTTGAAGTTTCTTTTTTTGCCCTCTTACTCAATTGTTCAGATTCGGATACATGAGATTGGGAGGGAATTTCATTCTCATTCAAAATATTCAACATCATCATCCAAATTTATACAATTTTCAACTGATTGATCCATCACCGTCACCTTCAAATAACATAAACATGATTAAAAAATATTAAAAATTTAGACCAACAAACAACAATTCACAAACAACAATTCACAACTGATTGATCCAACAATTCACAAATAATAATTCACAACTAATTGATCCAAGAATTCACAAACACATTTACACACAATGAAACAAAGATAAAATAACAATAAAATGAAACAATGGATAAATAAAAGGAAAGAAAAGCAGATTGAGCTTACATGGGCTGCCAGAGAAGATTGGATGCCGATGGTCAATGGAGATGGTTGGATGGGGATTGCCGGATTGGGGAGTCAGAAGTTGAAAACCGTGAGATGGTCAATAGGGAGTGATGACCGCTAAGGGTGCGATGCGGCGATGCTGAGGGCAGATAAGTATGGCCAGATGGGGATTACCGGATTAGGGAGTAAGAACCGTAGGCAAGTAGCTAGTCGGATGAGGAGTTTGAAGGTGCTACGCAGCGACGGGAGTGCTAGAGTGGAGACCGACTGAAGGTGGGAAGGCCGATGGGCGATGGGCCAATCGTCAATGGGGTTGAGGTCCTTGGGGATGATCAGATTGAGGCACTGATTAAATGACAGATCAACAATTAAACGGATGGGCGATGGTCGACGGGCGATGGAATAGTCGATGGGGATGGCGAATGGGGATGGGGATTTAAGAAAATAGATTTCGCTAGAGAAGACTAAAGACTAAAGAGATGCGGACCATGCGGTGCCCGTGCGCCAGTGCCAAGCTGCAAGCCAAAAAATTCAATACAAACACGTTTTTTTTTCTTTTGGCCTGCCGGGCTGTCCCGCACCAACCCGGGTCAGCCCCTAACCCAAACAAGCTAGCCCATTTAGGCCCGGGTTTAATAGGGGCTTAAATTTTATGACCCAACCCACCTCATTTTTAATTAAAAATGAGCCAGCCCGATGGGCTAGGCCCATATTGACAGGTCTAGCCTCCATGTCGACCAAGGTTCACCAAGTTACTCCTGATAATCCATTTAATCATCGGAGTAATGCCAGTCTCCTCAAAATTACTACAAAATAGAGTTATTGTTAGTAAAACAAATAAATTAATTTACCAAATTGATTACGTATAATTAATTATTTAAATTGGAGTAAAGGGAATTAACTCCCTTTGAAAGGATGCAGAAGTAACTATTAATTCGAATGAGTCAAAGTAGGCAAGCCAAGACTCGACCCTTGACATTTAGCCTGTAACATGTTATTGGACACAATTGCAACATTCGAAGTGGGGGTTTCGACTAAAGTAGTCAGCCTTAGCATCAGTACCTTTGGCTCTACCTCAGTGTTTGCCGCTTGAGTGAGAGTTTGTAGTCTAGGGGAAAGATGCGACCAATTATGCGTCACAGGAGGTTGGGTAGCCAAAAGGTTAGGGCTACTAGTGTGTCCTCGATAACCTTCCTTCATCTTCTTTGTCAACTTAACCATGTTTGTCGAATAAAAAGAAAAAAACTACAATTGTTAGTATAAGTATAAAAAAAATACTTATATTGATATAAACATTAATTAAATTATGGATAAGTAAATATATAATATGAGATATATAGTGAATCAACTTCATACAATTTTAATGTCAAAGTGTAAAAATTAAATTCATACATTTTTTTCTTACAAAAATTAAAGCATCCATCAATCATCATCTAAACAAGCAAACTCATTTTCTTCGTTCTTATCTTCATCATCATCGATATTGTTTTTATTTTGTTTGTTTGATTATTCCTTTCTCTCGTAGTATTCTCCTTCAACTTCATCATCTTTCTCATTATGTTCAACATTCACAAATGTATTAACGTCTTCATAGTCACCATTAACAAGAATTGTATTATTATCAAGGTCAATCGAAGCATGATCAAATTGTGAATTGAAGGTAACTTCATCTTCTTGTACACTCTTTTGTTAAGGTTGATCGTTTTCTTATCATTTTGCTTATTATTCGTAATGGGAAATCAATTTCGAACCTTTGTTTTGAACACTATCCATCAATCAGGTTGATCTTTTTTGTTTGATGGACACGGAGTGTAGTACAATTGAGCTACTTATTCTGTTAAAACAAAAGGCTCATTACTAGCAAGAATCGAGTTATATCTAATGTTAACCAACCCATGAACAAGATTTACTACAACACCTTTGTCAATATCAAACCAATGGCATTTCCTTTCTCTTTTTTGCTTTAACATCCTTGAGATGTCAATATCAAAACATTAAAAAGGCTTATCCTTCCCTGTTGAAAACTACTATGTAGTAGGATATTTACTTATACATAATTTTGAATGCCATTTTAAAACTTTTTCTCATCTACAAACATATTTTTCCTAAGTCAAATATTTATGACAACAATGCTCATAACAAGTCTATCAATCATGCAATCATGCTTTCAACTTTATAAACTCAAATAGTTTGAAAATGGTATACTCATTCATCTCAAAAATGTCAACTTCGATCAAAAAGTACCAATTTACTTTAGCAATTCCTCGTGGAGTTTGGTTCGTTCCTAGACATTCAATAATTATAATAATCATTTCTCAATCTACAAATCACATAATAATCTAACTAACCCTTTTCAAAATTAGTTGGATTAATTTACAACTAAATATTTAGCTTAAACTCGCTATTCTATAAAAATCCATAAGTAGAAAATTTATAAATCTTTTATTCTTACTTTAAGTGAGCTTAGATGCTAAGTAAAATTGAAAAACTTTTGAGCTCCAACAATGAACAAAAAATTTAAATAACAAAACTATATTTTTAGAATTTAAAAATAAAGTTTTAAAGATTCTAAAGCTTAAAAATGTCACATTTTTTCTTAAAAACCTAAAACCAAGTTTAAAATTATAAAAAATGGTTATTTGATTCAAAAATGAGTCGAGAGAGCTTAAGGTTTAGGAAAATACCTTGGAGAAATGGTTAAAATCTGAAATCCCTCATTTTATATAATATATTTATAATATAAGGTGTGAAAATATGCTTTTACCTATTTTATTTTTTAGAGAACAGAGTTAACTATCAATAGGCTATCATCGATGAGTAGGCTCCAAAATATTTAAAAATCTTTTGGATTACTATCTATCAATAAATGTTCAGTATCTATTGATAGATAGACTTTAGCAAGCAAAAACAAACTTAAAAACTTACTTAGCTTATTTACATTAAATACTATTTAAGCAAATGTTCTCATTTTTACTCTTTCTTTTTTGCTTTTCATTTACTTTAAGTTATTTAATGTAAATAAGCAAACAACTCTTTTTTTGAATTCAATAAAAAAATAAAAAAAACTCAAAAGAATTAAAATCTAGATTTTGATTTTAAGAACAAAGTTGAAAAAGTTTGACTGAAATTAAATTTGCAGCTTTCATTTATCATTGTAAACGTACTCTATAAATTATAAAAAATCATTTTTGATCATCTAAATTCTAACAAAATTATTACTGTTATTTTTTTTTTATTTTAAAAAAGGCATTCTATATAAATGTTTTAAAAATGACAAACAACCAAAGTATTAGTGAATTTTTTTTTAAAAGTTAAAACTGAGTTTGATATTCAAAACATAAAATCTATATACTCACTTAAGAAATTTTTAACTTATAATCATACGTTATTGGTAGTTATACTTTAGATTCCATTTAATAAATCAAATTTATAATAATTATTTTATTTTGTTTTGATAAAATAATTATTTCATTATTTTTTACGAGAAATTTTGCATCGATTAAGTCAAAATGATAGGAAAATAGAGTATGATTTCGATAGAGAAACTAATTATTTATGTGAAAAAATAAAAAAAAAACAAAATAGAGAATAGTACGTACAAGCGGTGCGATGGTCCACGTGGAAATGCCGCGGTGAAGTGAGAAGAGGCATGCAGGCAGCGGCACAACCTCGCGCTTTACAATTAGAAGACAAAGTAACAAACGACTGCTGTGCAAAAGATGGAAGACGATTTGCAGAATCAAAATACAGTACCTCATGTCCTTCTGCACGAACAAGTACCTCGCTTCCCCCCCGTCTTTTTTCTTTAATTTTCCCCTTTCAAGTATTGTGCTAATCTGTATTTGCTAATGTTGTGTTGCCAGGAGATTGCCACCCAAAGAATTATCCAGGCTCAGAGCCAGAGGTATTGGTTTGGGATTCTATTGCTTTTCTGTTTGATCAATCTTTTAACCATGTGATATGATTTATGTGTTAAAATAAATTTAATTTCAGAGATGCAGCTGCTGGACCTCCGTCTAGGGATGGCACTGACGTTTTCTGGGAGCGGCCTGACCCCAATGCTCTGAAAGTGGGTAATTGCTTTCATATTTGCAGTGTTTGATCATGTCTTAATCCTCATAGTTTCTCATTTCTGTATAATACATATGTACACTTATACAGGAGCATCTACTGAAAATGACTTCAGAGCATCGTGCTGAAATGGCTTCTAAGCGTGGCAAGCCTACCCCTCCTGAACAAGGTTGACATTTCATCATACCCGTCCTTCTGTTTTCTAGTTGATGTGATTCTCTACTTCACTCGAGTGTCCTACCAACTAAAAATGAAGTGTTTTCATCCACTACTCTAAAGTAAAAGAGGACAAAAACATACAAAAAATTCTTATCTCTTTCTTTGTTGCACTGAAGTAGGAAGTTTTCGGACCATATGCATTTTAGCTATTCAGTGGAACATGTGGAGAAGTTTTCGTGATTTATGTCAATTAGACACTTTGATCATTGTTTCAGATTATTTATTTACTACTTTGTAATGAAGGAAACAAAAATGCAAAATTTGGTTAATTCTTTGCTTTGGCTTCAGGTCACATAGAAATTGGAAATGGGTATGGTGTACCAGGTGGAGGTGCTTACTATTGTACTTCGGGGCCGAATATTGCTGCACCTGGTTGGTTTTATTATCAATGCTTTCTCACTACTTTCATGATTATTAACTGAACCAAGTTTGTATTCTTCACACAGATAAAAAAGCAGGTTACGATTTCATGCCTTCTAATATTTCAGGAAATTTGGGACTTGTAAATAATGATGTAAGCCAGAAAAATTCTGAGCTTTGTGGAGAATCAAAACCAAAGGCTGCAGCTAAAGACTTGCCTGAGTACCTTAAGCAAAAGTTGAGAGCAAGAGGCATTCTCAAAGATGGTGCTGCGAAAGATGATCTTTCAAGATCTGATAATGCAAGTCTATTTTCTATGTTTCATATTCTTTTCTCTTATTCTCTCCTTGTTTTAGTCATTATAGGTTGTGTTGAAAAGGAAAAGCATAGGTTCAGGACTTCATTATTTTATCTTTTCTGGAAATTTACCTATTCTAGTTTGCGAATAGTTTTTTCTGAAATTCTTATGAACTTTGTAATATGTAAACCTCTTCATATGAGTGCCAGTCAGTTACCAATAATTATGTAACTACTTGCTTTCTCGTTTGGATTTCAGAACTTGAAGACCAGTTCACCTCAGCTCATGGAAATTGAGAAGTTGCTTCCTGGGTGGGTGTGTATCAATGGCAACCTTTGTGCTTTTGGATTTAATTTGGTTTCTGTTTGTTTTAAAGCTCTTCGGAATCTTTGTTTTTGTTCTAGATGGACCAAGGTTTAAGTCCTTGCCATGTGGTTAAGCTTTTAGTTTGTGCTTGCTTCAATTTTATGTGATTGTTCTATTAAATCTTTAACTGTTATCAATTGTAAGCAACTTGAAACCTTGATAGGAAATGTAGGGGGAAAGGAAAGTATACTACTTCGCATGGGTGAATTAATAATCTTTTATATTAAATTTGTATATGGGGTTAGCAAGGTCTTTTCTAGCCATAAAAATATTAAAATCATAAACCATTCTCAAGATAACGAGGCCATAGCAATATGCAAGTGAACTTGTTAATGAGTTCATGTCTTCACAATTTCCATCAACTAGGTTTTACTTTCGTTCTAGCTGAACTAGAAGAATTTGAAATGTAAAAGTTGCTTTAATTTGAATACTTTGTGAAAGTGAATTTAATTACATAAAATATCATGGAAGCTGTCAAAAATTAAAGAAATTAGTTTTGGGGATTTTCTGGCTGTAGCAAACTTTCTGAGGTTTGAGCTTTGGGCCAATGAAACGGGCGGTAGAGAATGGAACAAAACTAAGGAAAGGTTACCATTCAGTTTTTTGATTCTATTATTTTAAATCTTTTTGATGATCACTATTATGGGATTGGACTATCTTGAACTTAGACTGTCTCCCTCTGAAAGTTTTCTTCTAGGTTCAAACTTTTACTTCATGTATTTATGTTATTGCACTGGTACATAAGAAGATGATTCTTCATTGCTGCAATTCATTTTCATTTGAGCTTTCTGCATTAATTATTGGTGACTAGGTGCCCTTTTTTAATACTTTATTTTACAAATGGGTGTAAATATTTTCTTTATGCAAGAAAAAGAGGAGGACAAATAAAAACATTCTTAGCAGGACGTGACTGGTATTTTATCATTAAGTAGTTGTAAAGTTGATATTCTGGAAAATTTTCTTCTTGCTTTTATTTCATGTCTGTGTTAACTTCTTTTAGTTCTTTTATAGGTGGAAGCAAAAGATCCTTCAACTGGTGCTTCATATTATTATAATGATAGTACCGGAAAGAGTCAGTGGGAAAGACCTGTAGAAACATCTTTGAGTGCTCAGGTTCCATTTGATACACAACTTGTGGGAGACTGGGTGGAAGCGGTAGATGAAACAACAGGTTTGCTGTGTATAAAGTTATTTGTCTGATTATCTAATTCTGATCAATTTTCAAATCCACAATTTGATTTTCTTTTGGGATGAATAATACAGAATGTGTGATTTTGTTCTACATCCATATAAACTTTAAACAATAATAAATACTAATTATATCTCTTAAGTGTACAAATACCATCAAATCTTTTGGTGTGAGGCTGCAGTGATTGGAAAGAATGTTCCTACATTATGTTTGAGGATAACCATTGGTATTTTTTTTATTGGAGTGGAACATTTTTGTTGACCAAACTTTGAAAGGCTCTATGGTTAAACTGATATTTTGATACTAGTATTTGCCTATAAGCATCTAACATTTGAAAGGTTAAAGGTTGCTTAAATACAGACTGATGCTCTTTGTATTATCTGCAATATGTATGAAAAATGCATGCAAAACAACTTGGTTTGGTTCGAGCAAAAGTGGTTTTTCATTAAGTTTCCACTTTAGTATTAACGTGTGTTTCATAATATTCAAGTGGGCTGATCCAGTAGGGTGGGGGAATGGAGAAATAGTGGAGGTGAGATGAAGGAGAAGAGGAAAATGGGGAGAATGGCTAGTCTATTCCCTCTTAATTCTTATGTGCATAGTTATTCCTATGTTTGGTTCATTTTTGAACCAAGAAATGGCCATTCCTGGAAAAGTCAGAATAGCTATTAACCATTTTGTGAAATTACTGTCCATATAATAAAACCTAACCTAGCATATAAAACCCTTTTATTTTCCTCTTCTTTCTCTCTCTCTCTCTCTCTTCCTCATCTGCCTCACTCTTTCTCTCTCTGAACCTCTTCCATTGCTGCCTTCCTCCTACACAGCCAGCACCATCCTCTTCTGGTCGGCATCGACAAAAACCTCTTTTCTCTCTTCCTTTACAACTGAGGTTGTCCTCCACATATGGGAGCTTCAATGGCTAGATCTGGCCATGAGAAGCACTAGATCATTCTCCAATGGCTAGATTTGGCCAAGAGAAGTGTCAGATTGATGCTTCATTGCATGGATGACATCTTCAGTGGCTGATGGCAAATTAGAGAAGAGGAAAGACAAGAAGAGAAGGAAAAATGAAAAAAGAGAAAAAAATAAAAAGAAATTAAAATAAAAATCATATTAATATTTTAATGATAACATATTAAATTATAATTTAATAATAACATATTTATTGCCAAAAGTTAATGAGTTCAAAATCCCATAAATTTTATTAAATTATTATTAAGGGTATTTTGTCCTTTTATCACTTATTCCTTTATTATTCCAAAACTATTTTTACCAACCAAACATTGAGATAATATCAAAATGGCCATTCCATCTATGAGCCAAACTACATAATAGCAATTCTATACTTACCTTAATTCTTTTCCCACAAAATAGCAATTCCATTCCCCCTCTATTCTATTCTACGAACCAAACATGCCCTTAATTCTTACTTTAGAAACCAAAAGGCTAAAGTCTTAGAAAGTGGGAAGATAATTATTATGGTTGTAAGTATTTACCTGTCAACATATCTGTCATACTCAGCCCCCACCTTGAGTATCACTTGTCTTGTAGAGTCCCCTAGGTTGATGCTCGTTCAGGATGAAATGAAATATCTGCAAACCCCTTCATTTCTAACTTCTAAGTTAGATTAGGGATCTCTTCAAGCTGAACCTGGAATAGCGGCCTAGCTGCAAATTGTTTCCTGTGAGACTGCTAGGTATGGGAGTGATACTCCTACTATTCCAAAATGATCATTTTCCTTTAATGCTTACCTTTCGTACATTTAGAATGCTTTCTTTTCTTATAACCCTCACAATTTACGTAACTAATGTCATCTTAGGGGTTAAACTGCTTATCAGACTAGGGTTGGTGCTTGAATAACTTATAGGAGGAACTACAGAATCATGGTTGTGTATATTTGATACTTTGTGCCAAAAGTGATGAAAATAAATGTTAAGGCAAACTTAAATTGTAGTAATAATTGAATTTTTAAATTGTTAGAATCTGAGCATGGCTCATAAATTCAACACCATTGATATGTCAATGTGCAATAAAGAATGTTGACATATAGGCAACCAAGTCTATATGATATGAAAGGAGAAGGCTTTAAGATTTTTTTTTTTTCGAAAATGGATAAGGAAGGATGAAACTGAACTTGGAATATGTAGATCAAGTGGCTGTCTAACCTAATAAGTAGTAGGCAAATTTTAATGGATGAATACCAACCCTCTAGGGTACAAAACACCACTAATTTGGAAAACCAAACTTTATAAGTGGAATTTCGTAGGAAATAGGATTACCATGTTGAAAATATGGGATTGTGGTTATTGTTGCATCATGACATGGCCGTAATGGGCTATTGATGGATGTACGGGATGGAGGCTGACTTCAATTAGATGACATAAAGTGTTAGATAAGCATTTATGCTGTCTTTGAAATGACCTTTTGAGATTGGCACTTGAGCATATATGCAAGTGCACATTAGTTAGTACATGTGGCCCATGGATTTGGTTGTAAAGAGTACTTTATGTGGGTGTATATGAGTCTTTTAGGCTGCAGTTCTGATGGTTTTTGGGATTTGGGTGATGTAGAACATGTAGGGGAAAGAGATGGAAAATAGAAATTTAGAGGGAAAATCAGAGATATACAGAAGCAATTAGGGAAAACAAAGAAAATAGGGAGAGAAATAGAAGACTTCGGAGAGAAAACCAGAAAGAATCAATACAGGGAGAAATCATAATAATCAATATCTCTACTCAAAAAGTTGTCATCCAGCTTATAAAAAAAAAAAAAAAAAAAAAAAAAAAAAAAAAAAAAACAAAAGTTATCATTCAAGGCTAATCAAAGCCAAAAGTAGCATAGACATTTATAATCTAAAGCCTAAACTCATAAAATACCAAATATAACCCTAAAACTCTAATACCTTAAAAGTAACGTGTAGATACTAATTTATATAAAATAACCTAAAAATGTGTAATATATGTGACAATTACAACCAAACCCATAAAATATAAAATAAAATCCTTCATGACTTAATCTCTCAACTAGCATAATTCCATCCTAAATCATTGGCGCCAATTTCTTGGTTGGAGGTGGCGGTGATAGGAAAAAGTCCGCAAAAGCTGATTGAAAACGTTCAGAAATATGAGTTGAGTTGGTAGAAAATAGATCATTTTGCATTGAAACCACTTGATGCAGCATGAAACTAAAATTTGAAACAGCATGGTTGACCTGCTTTGATATTGCTCCTGCTTGGAGAATAATGGAATACATTACCTTGTATTTGTTACTGCATGCATATTTTAACCTTTTTTTTTTTCGTAAAATCTACTATGTGCATTCAGATAGTAACATCGCTTTCTTGTGCCTTTTAACTCAGTACACAAAGTTAAGGGTTTTTCTTTTTTCTTTCTTTTTTTTTTCTTTTTGGGTAATGTATAGGGCACAAATATTTTTACAATACAAGGACCAATATATCTCAATGGGAGTGCCCTGATTTATCACAGCCGGTTGCATTAGAGCACCCAGCAAGCAGGTTTTCTGAAAATACTGTTTATGGCAATTTGGCTTCAATTTCACCAAACCTGGACAAATGCATCGGTTGTGGAGGTTGGGGAGTAGGCCTGGTGCAGGTTTGGGGTTACTGCAATCACTGTACACGGTACATAATGTCTTCAGAAACAACTCTCAGTATTGCATTTTATTATGATGCTGAACAAGCAATTTTAACCCATACTTTTTAGCAGGTTGCAAAACAAGCGAGTACATAAACATTAACTTGCATTCTAAATTTATCTTTAACTTTTTTAAAAAATAAAAAAACCATATTTTTATTGTAATTATTACAATGATACAATTTTTTTTGGTACAATTGAGAAAATTCAACAAGGAGAGGGGATTTCAACCTTAGATCTTAACCCTTAAGGAGGGTTAAAGCCATTAGACCAAGTTTGAGTTTTTATTGTGGTATAAAATAATTTTCATAACATATTATATTATAGAACATAATCTGGATGAGTGATTTGTATGTTCTGGTAAAAAAGGAAAAAAAAATCATGTGCACTGGAGCTCCTACCAGGTAACAACTATTTTATGTTAGTAGTTGAGGGCATTATGTTGTAATACAATTTAGTCTAATTATGAATAAATACATAAGGAAACAATGTTCTCTTGAATATTAATTAGCAAAAAATATATCCATAAAAAAAATGTTTTTCTTGGAAAATATGTTCTTCTTTTTAGCAATTCTTGTTTGTTGTCCATGTAAAATATTAAAAACTAATAAAGTTATTCTACTAAAAATCAAAGAACCTAACCAACTAAGATTATTTTTCTTCTTACATATATAACTTAATTTTTTTTTTCTGGGTGGAATACATTAAGTGTGCACCCTTACATCTATATCATATTTGAAGAATCAAGGAATAGAATAAAAAATTTTCATATGGGAAGGGAAAGATAATAGAGAAGCTGGGAGAGCAGTGGACCCTGAAGGCAAAGACCAGGAGCCTTAGATTAATAAAAAGAAAGAAAGAGGAATTGATGAATTATGGAAATGTGGTAGTTGAGGTATTAAGTAATCTAGGACTTTATTTTATACTTTACGAGTTTGATTGTGATTTTTACATATATTTAGGCTCTTTTGTTATCCTTTCATATTAATTAGTTAATTTCCATGTATTAGGGTTTTAGAGTTATATTTGGTATTTTGAGTTTAGGGTTTAGCTTATAGATGTCTATGTTACTTTAGATTTTGATTAGTTTTTGGATAATGAATATTTGAGATTGTGAGATATTGTGTATTGTGATTTTCTCTCCCTATTCGTTCTTTCTGGTTTTCTCCCCATAAGACTTGAATTTCTCTGCCTATTTCCTCTGTTTCTCCCTAATTTGCTTCTGCCTATCCTAGATTTCCCTCTAAATTGTTATTTTCTCTCTCTTTCCCCTACTTGTTCTACATCAGAAAGCCTCTCGAAAGCACTTAAGGATAAAGAAAGAGGATCAACTTTCTGGAACAATGCATCTGTGAAGTGGACACAATGTTATAATTATAGTTGTCAGGTCCTGTTTTAGTGGGTAAAATCCAAAAAGCCCCTTAAAATAATTCAAAAAGACATTTTGGTCCCTTAACTCTTAACACCTTTAGTCAACAATTAAAAAAAATTATAACCAATACTACATACATATTTTAGGACACAAATGCCCTTTTTAGAAAAAACTGCCCATGTTTCCTTCCAAAACTTAATAAAATTTATTTTGATATTAATAAAATTCAATATTTGACAAAGTAGAAAAAAACTTAAAACTTCATAAAATTCTAGAATGGGATTTGTGAATGCGGTAATTTGTCTCATTTTGATACTTAATAAAATTCAATATTTCACGGAAAAGAGATAAACTCAAAATCTTTTATATATAGTAATGAAGTCAAAATCGTTTTATGTCCCCTTAAACCCTAGCTCCAAAGAACAAATTTTGGGAAAAATTATTTCAATATAATTTGTAATCACAAGTAAAAAATTAATTTCTTGATCTGACATCATCAATTTTGAAATATCAATCATTGAACAAAAGATTTACATTTTAATATATTCTTTTCAATGAAATTTTTTTTTCAAACTGTTGGAAAAATAAAGAGTTTGATGGCAATATACTTTAACTCAAGAAAGAAGTTTACAGTTTAAGATAGATACGGCTTCAAATTTTTAGGCCTTCAAATAAAAATGTTTTAGGCTTTTTTTTTTTTTTTTTCTGATTAAGGTTTTTAAGGGATCGACGAGCAGATTTTCTTTTTCAAAAGAAAATATGTTTAAATTAAAAAACTAATATAAATGGTATTTATGTCTTAAAACATTTATGTAATATTAGGTCTAATTTTTTTTAACGGTTGACTAAGGGTGTTAGCAGTCCAAGGACCAAAAATATCATTTTGAAAAAAGAGGGACCTAAGTGTCCTTTTGAAGTGTTTTGAGGGGGCTTTTTTAATTTTACCACTGTTTTAGTTGTCTTAACATTTCTTGTTCCACTGTTTCGATGGTTGCTAGTTGATTTGAATAAAACTGTGACAGTCGGTTTCATTTTTCAGTAAACTTTTATTCCTTTTTTTTCAAGTTTCTTTTGGTGCAGATTGTTTTTGAATTATTGTTAATTGATGAAGGAAAGTATGTCCTGCTAAGATTATTTAAGTGGCTCTAAATATTTTAGGAAGTAGTAAATGCTAGCACTGTTTTCCATTGTCCACAAGATTTTATATTGTTTGTCTAAGAGAAGAAAAGCAAATATAGAGAGCACCCAAATTGGAAATAAAGAAAGGAGGGGCACCCTCAAGAACTAGGGTTATAGAAGAAAGTTTATCTACCGAAGGCCTTGAAGTAGTCTGTAGCTTCAAATTATAAATTATAAGAGCCTTTTTTTTGTCAAAATAGGGGGCTGAGGCTTTTGATTTAGTTTTCACATTTGTGCATACCATGTGAAATGGTAAGAATGAAGTAAAGATTGAGTGGACTTTAAGTCATGGAAAAGGTTCCTGAGTAGTAATTAAGCAGCTGGTTTGATCTATTTTTATGATAAAATTAATAGCTAAACCAAGAATTGTGCCTGGGTTTATGTTTTTGCAAAAAATGGAGGAAATTCTCTAGAAAGAGAGCAAACATGGTTGTATTTACCTGGCTTTCTGGTTGCCACCAATATCGAAAGCCAGTAACACATCATGACAGCCAATGTTTATAATTCTTGTTGGTACAAGAACTAAAAAAAAGGTTCAAGGTCTATTACTGCTCGAAGGAAGTATGGTTGTTTAAGGTTTGCTAGCATATATGCTACTTTGCTATTTGAATCGCTTGAAGTATACCTTTCTTGACATTTCTTTTCAGAGTATCTCTGTGACATAGGTGAGCTGGAAATGCCTTGCGTTTATATCAAAAGCATTTTCTAACAGTATTCAGCTAGTATATCCCCCATTCACCTTCCTCTTTTCTTAAACCAACCATTGGGATTGGAGTTTTATTTAACTTAATAAAATTAACCTTTTCACGCCATTTTAATTAGGGGATGTTAGGGTAGCATGTTTACATTTTTTAAATAGAGGGGAAAGTTTGTATTTACAGTTAAAGAGTTTTTGAGATTCATCCTTTTATATAAAGATCTATGGCACATCTTAAGTTTCTGCATCTATACAGAAACTTCAGAAGCATGCATGAAGCTTGGAGGGAAAAATAAGGGAGCCTTGCCTAGTTGCTTTTGGCGTTGGAGGTTAAAACCTTTGCAACAGCTAGGCACACTGGGAACTAGTCTTACTGGCATTAATTTTTTTTAAATGATCTAAGATCAGGTTGTGATCTTAAGCAGTTGAATTTTTTTTATTAATTCCCGAAGGGAGTGCAGCCTGGTTGGTTTTGGGGTTTCAGGTGAACACCTTTGCAACAGCTAGGCATACTAAGATCTTCTCATGTGTGTGGGAAGAAATATTCAGAGACTTCTTACTTGGCATTCAGTTTTTCTTTCTAAACAGTTAAAGTCAACTTGTGATATTAAACAGTTGAATGCTTTTGTGTAAGTCAGTTAACAAGGGATGCTTATAGTGTTTTGCCTAATATCATTGGATTATGATATTCAAATTGGAGTTCTCTTTTTTTATTATTTGCTTTTGGTTTAAAATGATGTTCCCTTTTCCTTTTCTAAGGTAAACAATTGGAACAAGGAGCCGTTTACAAGCTACTAGATTAAACTTGCATTGGATGTTCCATATGTATTTCATGTGACCTTTTGGACAGGGAGCCAAGTTTTATAGTTTTTACAACGAACAATTTGCATATATGAGTATTTCTATGAGAGTTCATTATGAGATAATGGGATTAGCTTTTGCGATGTAAACTATTGTATCAAGGAAATTGTACATAACCTTAATTAGTTCGGGCCTCTAAAAGCCATTCATACTTAAATTTGGTTGCAAAACATACATTATTTCCCAATGATTTAAGGTATAGGTCCTGTGGCTATTTGTGGATACATTTATACATGACATCTGTAGGTAATTAAAATGTGGTTTAGGTCAGACAATTTAAAATGATGTACAAAAGAAATGTTGTAAGTATCATGCCATGATGCCGTTGGTTCTAGAGGCTATTTTGTTTTGTTTTCATAATATGGGGAACATTTATGGAGAACGAGATGAGAAACTGGTACATTTAAGATACCGTTGTGAAACTCTCTTCTCTTTTTCCTGGCCATGCCAGATCAGAAAATGAATAAAAGGAAATGAAAATCATTTTTCTGCCTGCAAAATGCTTTGTTTGAAAAATAAGATATTGAGACTTGTGAACATGGGATGTTCTTAACTTGGAGTAGCACATACATGCATACATACATACATACATACATACATACATACATATATATATGTACATGTATAAATGCATGCATTTGTTTATGTATTTGTCATTATTCTGCATTTAAGAAAGCAAATTGAAGCTGATAATACTGAAAACTTCTATGAAATGCAGAGTTCTCAATCTGCCACAGAGCCAGTATTTGTCGACTATTACAGATAAGCAGCAGTCTGCTAATACCAAAGACCGTTATGAGAATAAGGCTCTGAAGCAACGGTACACCCTCTCACTTTGGATCTCTTTGTAATTGAACTAACTCTAATTTGCTTATTTCTTAGGCTACTGCATGATTCAAGGTCATCTAGCAATGTGATTAAAAGTCCCGTTTATATCTCTTTAGAATTCTTGTATAGTTCACGTTTGGGAAAATAAATCTTTGCAAATTCAATTGTCCTAATTCTCTCCATGCAGTTTTAGCATTTTGTTAAGACCTGTTGATGTACCGCCCAATAATTTCAAAATAAGATTTAATATGAGTATGGAATTTGCAGTTGTCAAAACCACAAAATCCTCTAGTCTCAGTATGTGATGACTCAAATTTGAATATCTCAATTGTCTAAAGTTGCCCTTAAAAGTATTAAAGTAACATATTTATATAAGTTTAAGAAACTTTACATCAAGCTCTCATTAAGTAGCCAACATAAAAGTTCAAATGAAATAAGCTTAAATAACAAAACCCTATTTAATGAGCAAAAAACCAAAACCCTATTTTCTAAGTTTTGTCTAAAATAATTATTTCTCAAAAATGTAGATAATGACCCTTCATCATTCTTTCCTTTTGGACAAAGCTAATTCCAAAGAGTTAAACTGCAAGTACAACTCAAACAGCTCTCTGAGGTTCAAATTTTGAAACTCATCAGCAATAATCTAAGAAGCATCCATGGTTGGTTGACCTCTCCCTAACAACATATCAAGGTAATCCCCCATTGCTACAAACAATAGTTTCATAATCTAGAACTAGAACGACAGCAGTCTCATCCTTATGGGATGAAAATCCTAGCATGTGAGAAATAGAGGTCGTTGCAAATTATTTGAAAGAAATAAAGAGGCTCCAACTACCTTTATAAGGTAACAAGTCTTCCTCAGTGAAATAAGATTATTATTCAAATGGCAGGATAAATCAAGTAAATAAGCTTTAGGGTCATGTCATCAATGATAGGATAGAGGCACCTGGCATGAGCATGTAATTTCTAAGAATTCTAACATTCAAAATGAATTCTCATCAAAATCATCTACAACTTTGAATTCTCCTTTTTCTTGTTTAAAGTTGAGAATTTGTGGAAGCCTCCTTGGACTGATTATTAGCTCTTTTCTTCCTACAAACACATCCAAAATTTCCTTTTCCCATACCACATCAATAATTTCCGAACTTTTTTTGGCAACTCTTGAGTAAAATTCTTGAACAAGAGATTGACTACTCCTACTTTCTTTTTAGGTTCTACCTAAGTCATATTCTCAACCCAAATTGTTGGATTCAAGTTCTTCTCAAATTATAAATTTACAACAAATAATCTTGTGAGCCGTCGGAGTAATGTACCTTTTCTTTTAAGTTCTTCAACTGAAAAATTACAACTTCTTCGATTGATCCTTTCTTCAAACTTGCTTTTCTTTGTAAGAGTCTCCTTAAGATTCCAGCTTTTCTTTTCATTTTATCTTTCTTTCAGAGTACCTTTTGATCTTTTTGGTCTTGCAATTCTTGATATAGGGTTGAAAGAAATTTTGAAAGTTCCAAGGGAAATGTTGTTTTAGATTGATTGGGAGATGATCAATCGAATAAGTGATAGTTTAGCTTAATCAATTTTGGTGTTAGTTGGGTCGATTTAAGTTTGGCATGAAGGTACAAAAAGGATTTCCTCTTTGACCTAGGGATTTCAATGACAACAACTGATTACTGATTATAGCAATTGATCAATTAGTTGACTATAACTTTACGCAGTCAACTTATCATTATTGATCTTTATGAGATGACTCAAACAACATTTAACAGAGTTGTCGTCCATTGGCCACTTAATGATGTTTTCTTAATCAATTAAACACTTATGTTTATGCACAAACTTTTAGCACAAAATTATGAATTTATATCATAAATACTCAGGAAATGAATTCTAAGCATTCTATTAATCACATAGTAAGTGCAACTTTACTGTAAAACGACTGTAGTGGTCAATTTGCCAAACCTTTGTGTAATCTCCATTGATTTATCTTTCCTTTGTCAGTTCTCTGGAGACATTTAGTCATGCTGTTCTTTGCATATCAACATATGTTTCAAACTTTATTGGCTTTGCTTCCAACAACATTGTATACTTCTTCCTTCTTGACCATATAAATTTTGAAATTCTACTGTTGCTGTAGTGACGTTTGCATTATCACCACACAAATCACTTTTCTCCATGCAATATCAGCCTCATCAAAAACAATATTTATAGGTATTCTATAAAGTTTCCTTGCTGAAAGCTTTGGAATCTTCTGAGTTAATCGGATATCTCAAAAGAATTTTGCTTTAGCAGTTCAACATTAATCTTTTCAACAGTGTCAATAATTTGTTTCATATAAATAGAATTCAAACATTCAAAATCATCTGCAAAGAGAGTTGGAGAAGGGTACCACTTTGTTTAAACCTTTAAGGAGTTATCACCAATACTTGCATCTTTGCCATTTCCCAATTCAACGACTTTTTGCAGACATTCATCTTGTTTAATGCTGTGATCAATTTTGGCACAATCCCTCAAGGCTTTTCTCTCCTGGCTGAGCTCTCAAGAAACTCCTTTTCAGCTTCAGCTCAACCTACAAAAGCAGCTTTTCATTTTGCATTTTTAGGTACCCATACTTTGATGGGTTCTTGGGGGTTAGTTAGCATATAAGATTCTTTTGGACCTCAACTAGCTTAGTTCTAGGATGGTTACGATCCTCATGACAGCAATCATAAGAGAGATATCCATTCCTCCTAAATAAAGCTATATGGAGAAAATCTAGAAGATCTTAAGCCATTCTTCCCAAAAAAAGTTGTTTTGGTTTTGAGTGCTCATTCAAGTTCTGCTGTGAACTTCCTTTGAAATTAAAGTTTGAGAGGAGAATTTTCATCAAGTGCCTCTTGTAAGGCTTAAAGCTTTTTAGCTTCAATTTTAGAATTCCAAAATCATATTTTAATAGTTTAATTTTAGCTTGAGGAGCATCTTTACAATTTATCACATCATTGTAATAGTTCTGAGTTTTTTCTAATTCAGAAGTTGAAGATAAAACTTCCATTCCAAAAGCAATACATGTTAAGCTTAAGTTCTCAAATTCCTCATATAAGCATCGTATTATGTTGCAATTCATCAAACGAAGCATTTGAAATTTCTGAGATTACCTCAATATTAGCTTCTGTGGCTATCAATTGGAGGTTGGCCTTTAGTTCCACTTTTGTTCCATCATCATCAAAGGTGGATGAATTATTATCTGACCTTGTTGCCAACATAGCTTTTTCTACTTTTCCTTCTTGGGGTTGGCTTTCTTGTTCAGAAGACAATATATTTTATTGGGTCCAGCTTTCTAGCATTAATAGCAAGCAGATTGACTGCTCTTCGAAACTTCATTCCTGTTTTTATCTCTCCAAGATGATCCTTGATCTCTTCTGATATTTCTTCTCATCTTTCTTTGATTTTCTTGGCTTAGCTACCTCTTGTACCTCATAGCCAGCTCATCATCTTCTTTAGATGATACATTGTCAAGCTCTCTTTCAAGAGCACTAACTTTAGTGCAGACCTCTCTTGTTTTCCAATGCTTATGTCTTTCCTTCTTGCTGCATTTCTTGCTTGTAGGTTAGAAACGAGCCATAGATTTCATCAAGAGATATTGTGTTGAAGTTCTTTGCTTCTCTTAACCTTTGGTTTCCAAGCCTTAGGTAGGCATCTTAGCAACCTTTTTATAAACTTGTGTTTTGGAATGCTTTTAATAGTTACTTGAACTGGTTGGTGATGGTTGTGTATCTATCAAACAACGAGGTGATTGACTTACCAAGTAGCATTTTAAATAGCTTGTGCTGGTTCGACAGGATTGTGATCTTGGACATTTTAACTCGAGTAGTGCCTTCATGTGCGATCTTCCCAAATTTCCTTTGCCATGGAGCAGGTAGATATTTTGTTGAACTAAGTTGGATTGAGAGTTTAGTGAAGAGTATTGATAACCTTGAAGTTTATTTGCACAATTCTTGTCCCCTACTTTAGACCACTTAGTTCTTTTCTTGGCAATATTCTCACCAGTTGTGATTGATCTCTTTATAGGAATATATGGTCCTTGAGTAAACACTTCCCATTTTTTGTAGCCACAGGCTTGTATATAGTGGACATCTTTTTACTCCAATATCGATGGTTTGTTCCATCAAATAGAGCATGCCTAACGGTGGATTGTTCTTCAACTATATGTGTATTTGTCGTTACCATCTTGGATCACTCTTGAGATTGTTAGAGCTTCAAACCCAAGAGATTGGTTCTGATACCACTTGTTGGTCCCAAGGGTAGTGCTAAAAGCGGTGAATAACACTTTTCTAAAGGTTAAAGATTTTAACGATAGAAAAAGATGAATGAATAATGATTACAGGACATGAGCAAAGGTAATAGTGATCAAGTAAGGAAAGGTTAAGGGTTATGGACAATGCAAAGCTTCTTATAGTGGTTTGGTCCTTTAATGACATATGTTCACTATCTTAACATCCATTGTCAAGGATTTTATAATCCAACTTCACTAAACCATCGAGATTAATGGCTTCCACCTAGTTTTTATAAAGTGAGCTATCCCAAGCTGAATACCCTTACTTACAAATCCAACAAGTGTTACCTTTACACTTCTTTTCTCAAGGACAAGAGTGAAACTTACACTCTTACAAGATAAACTTATAGCTTTTACACTTCTTTGTAGCACTTTTCTAACTTCTTTTTCTTCTTCTCTTTTTATAGATAGGAATTATAAAGTGAGCTATCCCAAGCTGAATACCCTTACTTACAAATCCAACAAGTGTTACCTTTACACTTATTTTCTCAAGGACAAGATTGAAACTTACACTCTTACAAGATAAGCTTATAGCTTTTACACTTCTTTGTAGCACTTTTCTAACTTCTTTTTCCTCTTCTTTTTTTATAGATAGGAATTAAGCCTAAAGAGTAAAGAACTAGAGAAAGGTTCTTCACCCCTTGTAGCCCAAGTTCCCTCAATACATTTTCTCTCTCTCTCTCTCTCTC